CTTTCTGTGCTGAGTTTACAATGATATTTTTTGAGTGGATGTTTTGGTTATTGGCTCACCACTCCATCTCTCGGGGGGGAGGGGGGGAGTGGGGGATATAATTCAAAGGGAGGCACTTATTTTGTTTTTCAGAAATATTTCAGCTTCAAAACCTGGCACATTCAACAAGTAATAAACTGAAACATGTCTTTCAGTAGAAGTCCACATTTGTGGGTATGTGGTACTCAATCAATGTGGTTTTCAAAATCCCTAGAGTCACTGCTCATCTGCAGAGGAGCCGCATCTTCACAGAAGGGAGGGGTGTTAAGGGTGGTGGGCACTAATTTAAAGGGGACACAAATTTGAGTATTTACAGTAAAAATAGCTTTTCATTGTGGGTTATGTGACAGTTGCCTAACCCCAGTAAGTAGCATCTGCAAAGCAGCACTGATGCTCTTGGTGTGGGCCCCAAATGGACTCAACAAATTACCGGGAAATGAGTTTTGAGTTTCTGTTCACCCTGATTAGTAAATTGACAAAAACAGTTCAACAGTCCAAAGGTGGGGCTACTCAAATTCTGCTACACCAGTGGGGGCCTAGCACAAGAATTGCGGCACTTTTTCGCCAATAGACCTGACCAGAAGTTTAGTTCTGTCTGTCATGATGCAGGCTATGTGAGAAGAGTTGCATTATTCAGAAAGTTTGACACAGTCAAGTGAATACCTTTGTGTCAGGTTTTCCTCTCTTTAGTCTCGCTTGCATAAGCAGCAAGACTCATAATCTACAAGTCGTTTTCCTTCGTATTTAAGACACAAAAAGAGAGTCATGGTCCCAAGCATTCTTAGCGGAGACTGTGGAAACTGGGAAAAAGAATCGTTGCGTGACCAAAGCCACGAATGTTTTGCATAGAAAGCTTAGGAAAGATTAAATTTAGAGCTTTTCCAGAACAGGTCTGTTACGTAATGTAATAGGACACCGAACACGTGTAGGTCTTGTGCCAGATTTCCCTGCATATGTAGTTGCTCCTCAGTTGATGATCTATTCTAATAAAGACGCTAATCAGAGAACTTAACAAGATCAATTGGTCTACGAATTCTATCTCTTGAAAGCATTGGTTACGTTGGAACAAGTGAACACTACAATGGTCGAAAGAGAAGAGCCTAAATTAGGAAAACTGCGATGGTCGGGTGTTGTAAACTTTCATTGTATGCAAATGGTCTTGTGATGAGCATTTGGTTTATTTTCAGCCATGATTGAAATAATGTGCAATGTAAATCACTTTTTTGATCTCTGGCAATGATGTAATTTCTCTGGAATCAAGGCCCTTGAATTTTCGTGTAGTTATACACATGTATAGCCTGCGACCCCAGATGTATTTCCAGTCATCATTAACATGGGTACTAAATCAATTCAGAAACAAATAAAAAGTAAACATCCTGACGAATACTTGACCATTGATAAAGGTGTTAGGTGCCATATCGAAAGGATATCATATATCGGATATTACCTGATACTTATTTATATATATTATCTATATACCTACATCTATAATATATCTATATAATTATCTTCTATTAAAGTCTACTTAGATCCCACCCTCCTCTTTCCTGATTTCAATAATATTGGATATTATGACGATAATGTCATGTTAGAATCAACTAGAGACTACTTAGATCTATGGTAGCTCCCTTGCCTCTTTCCTGACTGCGATGATATCAGATATTATGGCAATAGTCTCGCATTAGAATCTACTAGAGCCTATTAAGATATCCCTTTCCTCCTTCCTGACTGCTATCGTGATAATATCAAGTTAGACTACTTAAGAGTCTATTTAGATCCCGAGGCACATCTTATTCTAATATATCTGACACTAGAATGATTAGAATGACTAAATAAAATGACATTATAACGGCGAAATGTTAAATCAGATAACATAAAATATCGTTGGATAGAGCTAGTGCGTTATATCATTATAAACAATAAGGCCAAATATCTGATAATAAACTTGATATTTTTAGTCTGATAAAAGTTTGATTCAATATTAGACCTATTCTAGATCGATAATAAAAATCTGATAACTATCCGATAACTGATATCCTTTCAATATCGCAGCTTTATGCGTTAAAGTAGGAGGTGAAAAACCTTTTGTGAGTAAAT